TGGATGCATTGCTTGAGCTTCTAATTTCCAGTGGAAACCTTATATTCAAATGATGATTACGTCAGCTATAAAGATATTTATATCATTGGAAGACAATCATAATTAATCAATGTATCTGATCAGGTGTTTTTATTGATTATGATTGATGTTGCTTTTTCGTCTGACAGGCCTTAAATTGAACAAACAAATTAACTGAAACAAAATTTCCTGCGGCCTAAATGGCTGGAGTATTTTTCTAAAAAATAAATAGAGACTGCTTCATTACATCCATGGAAAGTTTACTTGAAAACAAAAAACTTCTTAACAAAGGCGGATTCAGGGTGAGAGGGGATGTTTTTCTCGACACCCACGCCTTCTAAAGATCTCACCTAGATTTAGAACAACTCATCTTTTTTATTCAAATTTACTTTTTAGGGCGCCTTGCCCGCCAAATGACATCAGTTCGAGGTGGAGTGCGCTCTGAAAAAGAGTTGAAGAAAATATTCCAAAAAGGCACAAACGGCATTTTAGCTAGATTGAGCAGAAACTTGTGTTTGGTTTTTTGATTTTTCATGAGAGCTCAGAAAGTTTTTTGATCGACCTAAATAAAATGTCAACCAATTTTTTTTCTCCAAATCCCGCTCCCTTCTCCAGAAAAATTCTCTATCCGCCCTGCTCCTAAATATGCACGTTTTTAATCGGTTAAAAACACAGATTCCGCGAAAAAATTAAGTTTTATTAAAAACATTGTAATGATTTGAATTTTTATTGTGATCTCGAGAGCTGTAAGCAATTTCAAACAAAAAGGAAAGATTTTATGAGGGTCATTTATCAATTTGCGGAACAGGATTTTTTCAGTTGACTTGATTATCTTTTCAATTAGTCCGACAGCCAAATAATAGAGAAAAAATAGCCTTCGGTAGGCGCATGTCAGTACACATGACCGGCTGCAGGTAGTGCATGTCATATGCTTTGATTAAACTGGTGAAAATCTGGACCGAAAAACGACATATGGGCGGTGGCATCAGAGAACAGAGGAAAACAGAACAGAGGAATTAAGATCAACTGCGACCGCCCTGCTAGATTAACAGGTCATCTGAAAATTTTTAAATCTTAACAGAATTTAAGAAATCAGAGAAATCTTAGAGTTTTGTCACTTAGAGAAGGTTCAGTATTGGCATAAATAATTATTTTTCATCAGAAAATAAATATCTAGGTGCTAGTGACTTCGATTTGGTTGTAAATAAAATTTTGCTGATCGGTCATTATGGAAAAGCTTATCGGTCATTAGTCATTATGCTAGTCGATACACCACCGCTGTTTGCAGCAACATCGGATAATGCCTCAAAGAATGCCAGTTTAATCCGACATTTTTTGTAGACCACAAAGTATTTTAGATAAGAAGAAAAAAATTATTTTTTACAAAGAAAACTTGAGACGCATATTAATGCTCCATTAATATACTATAATCTCTTTGCTCGTTTTGAACAATACCAACTGGTTCAGACTTGGAACGAATTAAGCTTTGTTGCGAAGAAGTCTTTTGGTCGTAAACTTAACCCAGTTTTGCGTCAGAAGGAAAAAAGAGAAGCCATCTCAGATATCAACACTGCTTCAAAGCGGCTTTTTGGAATTTAAAGACGAAAGCTTTGATTTTTGTCCAAATTGCCTGCAAAAGTTTTTACTACATGACTGATTGTTTGCAGCAATTCTAAATTTTTTAGCTGCGCTTTTTCCATTTGCGGTAGGCTCTCCGCGCGAAAATTGTGTTTCTGCCTTCCCCAGAAATGTATCAATTTAAGCCAAAAACTCTATAGGCCAAAACAAGACTGCTCGTATCAGAGCAAACCCTTGAATCTTATGACTGCTCTTTAATTATATTCTTGATTAGTCTTTGCGACCATCAAGTCGGTTACTGAGTAATGTGCGCATCCGGCTAGGCTCGCGATGATGCAGGGATCAATACCCGCAATAAGAAAACATTCATATCGATATTGGTCTGAATAAGAAAAACTTCGAGCCTATATATTCTACATTTGCTTCAAAAGTCAACACGACAACACAATTTGCAAATCAGCACATTTGGAATTTTGGGTGGCTTAAACTATTTCTATGGCAAGGACACCCTCACCAGGTCCAAAGTTTTTTCCTGTAAGATATCGCGAGTTTCTTGCAATTTTAGTCTAGCTTGAAGTCCTGTCGGCTTGCTGTCTTTTACCCGTTATTACCTAATAGCTGAATTTGTCAAAAAATATTATATTGAAGACCTTTCAGATTTGATTGAAATGTCTTCTACTAGTTACGAAAAATTTTGAAGAAGCTCTCTTATGTCAAAATGTTTCATGTGATTTTAGTGCAATTCCATACCAAAACATAAAGCGGGGTTATAGAACTGATTTTTCGGTTAACATTGTCAATCGCCAAATATTGACTATATCAGTTATATTTTCTTTAAAAATTGGACCATGAATTGCCATTTACTGTTCATGCAGCAGAAAAAGTTCAGGCCGCATTTATTCAACCACATTGTGGTCTTGAAACTATAACTTTTTTGAAATTTGTGTAAATTCAGAAAACGTTTTGTGAATCATTTTTACTGCGCTATTCACAATTGAAAAGGGTGGAATATGTATCAATTGGCTTGTAACGACGGTTTCTTAAGATGCTTGTTTTCGCAAGGTAAAAATCTCCTGAAGCCACTTCCCAATTTCCCAATTACGTGGTTGATTAATTTTCATCTAACACTCTTAAATGCATCACAACTACCGCATTTGTAATTTGATACAAAAAATTCCGCTTAGCTATCAGGCATAGCTGCCATGCATACATTTGTTTTCCTTCTCAATCTTAAATTGATAATCTTACAATTTGTTTTTTGTTACAGAATTTGTATTTAAAAAAATGAAAGAACAATGAAGAACAAGGAGAGCGTACTTGTTGCGGAATCCGCTTACAATTCCAAAAACCCATAATTTGACCCGTAATTATCAGTTTTTTGTCTAGTTCTGATTAATTTTAATTTCGATAGTATTTTTTATTCGCCAAACCAAACTGATTTTTAAACTTTTTTGGGATTTTTTTTTCAAAAAAATGACATCCAAAGGCGCCAACTGAAAATAGTGACATACTATGTCAACCAATTGTTTTAAGAATTATAACAAGACTGCTCGTATCAGGGCGAAGCCCTGAATGTCCCGACTGCCTTTGAAGGTTTATGGAGCAGTCATGACATGAAAAATTTAAATACAAAAATAAAATTAATTTTTATTTTAATTTGGGATTTTTTGTAAAAACATCCCCCCACTCGCCACATTAATATCATGACAAATTGAAAGTAAAAAAATAAAATGAAAAAAAAATTTTAAATTTGAAAATGGGATTCTATGAAAATCATCCCCCCACACGCTATATAAAGTACAAAAAAATAAATTTCGCTCTCTGTAGCAAATCAGTCATGGCAAATAAGCTTCTTTCAACCAATTTGGAACGATTTCTATGACGGATTAAATCTCCGCTTACGCGTTAATAGGACAAAATATATCGCGCGTTAATTGACCCAAATTGGTCAAAATGGATATCTTTAAACATTCATAACTTTACAAAAAGTGATAACAGGCAGGGGCAGATCTAGGATTTTCTCGAAGGGGGCGGATTTTCAAAAAATTTTCCAAAATTTTGACGACCTTTATTTTTAGGTCGACCAAATTGATTCTTCGAGCTTTCCCAAAGCACTGTTTTGCCCTTATTTTGGCAAAATTTTGTGCGCCGCAGGCAAGTTTTTGAAAAAACAGTCAAAAAGCCGTTTTCGGGCACTTTTTGAAAAATTTTGACAAAAAAAAATCGCGTTTTTTTTGGCGCTCGCTCCCCCTCAAAGTTAGTATATATTGGCTTAATATATTCCCTGAGGAGGGACGTTATATTGGCGTTATAGTTAGTAATATATTCCCTGAGGAAGGGGGGCGTCCAACCCCCCCCCCCCCCCTAAATCCGCCCCTGATAACAGGTGAAATATCTTTTCAAATTTAAGCTCAGGACAACAATACTTTCGAATGATATAAAAGAACTCCGTCAAAAATGGCCAGTTAAAAAGTCGAAATTTGTCTGACGAAAAAAACCCACCTCGAGCACAAATATTCCGTTACTGTCGTATCGAAAGTCGGAACAATAAGAAAAACACAATTTCTAAACAATTTACAAGCCAGACTCAAGCCTGAGATAAAGTCCTTAGACCAAATAGTCAGTCTTCAGACGTTTCTGAAAATATTCCAATTTATCTACAGCGAAACAGGGCAAAGCTTTAGGGCAAAAAAGACTATCTACAAAAACCGGAAAAAGTAGATATGTATGCACGGTTTATAAACAGTATAATTTCTCAAGTTGAAAACTTAGGACAACATGTAATTTGAGGTTTTACAAAAAACTCTTCCGCTAAATCAGTTGAAAATGAAATTTGCCAAATCATGGTTTCGCATTGTGAATTTACGGCTCATGAGTTTCATATAGTTTGAACAAAATAAAGGCTGGTAAAGTAGTCGACATCGGGAAAAAAGCGTCGCGTCGTCGGCAGTGAACGCTAATTCATCGATACTCCAGACTATTAAAGCTCCATGATTAATACCTGTATATGGAAAAATTGTTTCGTCTCCGGCAAAGAAGGAATACTTTAAAGGAATGGATTAATCCAATTACAATGGCTTTCAGTCTATAATAAGATCAAACATCACCTAGTTTTCTTTCCCAATTTAACTATTGTTTGATAAAAGGAAGGAATTAATCAAGGTGAATATTATTTCCTTGTCCAAAACAATGAAAAAGTAAAGTTATGATCAAATACAGCGAATGATGAAAAACTTTTTTGTGACCCTGCTTGGAGAAGCTACCTCGATGCTAAGACTCTGAATTCCGATTCAAAAAATCTTGAAGAAACTTTTCCCATCTTAACTACAACTAACTGAGATTGCGGGCGTCAAAATTTTGAACTTCAAAGATGTGATTTTGACGTAACACCATAAATAGCTAACCTGGTATACTATGGACACTGGCACGACGACCACCGACACCAGCAGATCCGCACATGCCAGTGACACTATGAAGTAGTTGGTGTATGTCCTCAACCTCTGTTCCCTGGCAACCGCCCCCACCACCAGCAAATTTCCCATCACACTGATCACAACCAACACCCCCAGAAGCACTATCTGGGCCATGTCTGAAGCACCCACCCCGTCGGATGTTAATGAGTCATCAGCTGCCCCTCCCCCTTTTCCTATGCTTGCTGGTAGTGACGTCATCATTGACGTCAAAAACGACTCATTAGCAGTTGAAGATGTGACCAAATTTGAAAGCATTTTCTGGTTTTATTGTAGCCAAAGTTTCAATTAAACAGTATCTGAAAAAAAAACAGTACAATGAACTATAATTAATCGAAATCAAATCAGTCTATAGGTTCTGTAATTAGTTGGACATAAAAAATAGAGCAAATGGAAAGCAAAATTCCAGTTTGCGGAGGTTTTTTCTTAGTCCGGTAAAAAAGCGGAACTTAAAAGAAATGCTGAACAATAAATAATATTGACTGTTCTTATTTGTTTTTTTCTTTAAGACTACGTCGATTAATAATGGAAGAGCAAGTCTGAATTAATTTGACGGACATTATTGAATTTTGGGTAGCAAATAAAACTGCAAACAATAAGAAATTAAGAAACAACACGGATAAATTGTACGTCTGAAAATTTTGGACCTATTTTCCAATAAAAAATGATTACGTGATTATGAAGAACGCACAAATTTTCAGACTGAAATATAGCGATAAAAAATTTGGTGCAAATATGCGGCTCCAATTTCATTAGATTACAGAAAACTTGCAAAATTAAAGAGCCGAGTTTCCCTGATACCGAGAAGTTAAAAGTAGAAATGCAAAATACAGGAGTGTTTTGAATGTAATCACCTATGGCTTGTTTACAAATTACCTGTGAATATTTAGACTAATTGTGAATGACACGAAAGAATGGTCCAAGGCCCTTTTTCTGTCATTTTGTACCAACGCCTTAAATTTAATTTTAAAATTCAATATCCTGACTGGAGTTAAAATTTAACCCACTATTTGATCCGAACAATTCAACAGGCAAATTTCACCTCTATTTGTGAAAAACAGCCTCCAATTTGAACAAATTTTGCCTATGTGGGCATAAAAGTTAGGCTATCTACTTGAAGAATGATGTTTGTCGCCTTGATGATTTTAATGGTAAGTAATAGCTGCAGAATGTTTGAAATGAAAAAGAATAAACGATCTCTATCTTTAGTTATTCCTTTTAAATGGAAACTAATCAGTGAAATAGGTAATAAAAGAGGAATGTTTTATTTGTTCAAGTAGCATGCAATAGGTTGGACCGTTTGCCAACTGTGAGGAAAGAAGGGGAGTAAAAATAAACAAAAAATGGACTTGACCAATCAGAGGAGAGAATCGTTAGGAGAGGTAGGCTGGTTGATTGAAGGTTAATAGTATACGATAATAATATATTTGATGGGAGAGTAAATTATTCAAAAAAATCTCATCAGCAGAATCACTGCGTCTAAGCCGAAACTGATCAAAATTGGACCTGCTATGCCGAATTCGGCCTCCTGCCCGTACCCAACAAAACCTTCGAATCTTGATAGAAGTTTTTTATAGATAATATAACCTAATTTTCTGTGTTTTCTGTACAGAAATTATTTATTTCTCATCTATTATTAAGAATATACAATTTTTGGAAAGAAATAGCCATAAATCAGTTCACTGCTCAACTGCAACGAGATAAACATGCTTCGAGTCTACATAATAGACGAAGCATTACAATGCACAACAAAATAACAGTCTGGAATTTGGGGAGAGAACACAAATGGACTCTCCTTGACAGGACTCTTAAGGCCTACTGATAGCTCCTCTGCGACTAGCAGGAACCACATTAAAAAAATTAATATTTGCCATAACTTTGATCTAGAAAAAATTTATCGCACGTGATATAGAAATCAAAGATATGAAATAATACCTTGAATTGCTTTAAAATGACACTGTTTTTGTAACTTTTAAGAAAATCGAGCAATCGAGATTGGTTTTTTTTTTTTTGCAATTTTAGAAACACACATTTCTGCTTAAATTCGAGCAAATTTGTTCTCGGTTGCGCCAACTAATGGTAATTTGCAGAGATATTTGATAAACAAAGACATAAGAAGCAAATACGTTTTTTGAAAGGTGAAACAAAAAAATGATTTTCTACCAAGGGTTTTTGGTGCTTCAAGTTGTTGCTGACTAACGTTATCTCAACCTTAGGACATTTCAATTTGCAAATCAATTCGAAAACGTAAAACGTAGCTAAATTTCTACATAATGCAGCAACACTTTTTAATCCCACTATTATTACGATCAAGCGTATCAAGAATCTTACTATCACCTCGCGCGAGTCGTTGCGCTACAATGAGTTTCTGGCTAAGGTTAAGCATAATTTTATACTCAATCCTCCCGACGCATTTTCATATATTTTGATAAGACCAAATACAAATGTTCTTTTGAGATTCTGGATGAACTTGACACATTGAATCAAGTCTGTGAAACCTTCATCAAAAATTAAAACCAATTATCACGTAATACTAAGTTGGGGAATTAATCAGGGTCGTTTAATTTTTTTGAACTTCGAAAATGCCAAAAAAGTTTAATAAGAAAATTCATTTCAAAGAAAATTTATGGGCACAAAATGGACAACTAGGGATCTTCATATTTTGGTTTTCCTTAAAATCTATGACCAACAACATAAATTAAATAACGTTGTTGTTCCGACTTTCGATCCTAAAGTAACGGAATATTTGTGCTCGGGGTGGGTTTTTCTTTTCTTCAGACAAATTTCGACTTTTTAACTAGCCGTTTTTTGACGGAATTTTTTTTATCATTCGAAAACTATTGTTGTCTTGAGCTTGAATTTGAAAAGATATTTCACCTTTGATCATTTTTCTTAAAGTTATGTGTGTTTAAAGATTGCCATTTTGGCCAATTTGGGACAATTAACGCGCGATAAATTTCGCGCTATTAACGTGTAAGCGAGATTTAATCCGTCCTAGAAATCGTTCCAAATTGGTTCAAGGAAGCTTATATGCCATACTTGATTTGTTAATAGGCGCAAACAAATCAAATCTATCACTTTGTACTTAATATAACGTGTGGGGGATGTTTTTACATAAAATCTCAAATTTGTTCAAAATTTTTTTTAAAATTTTTTTTATTACATTGAAAGTCGGAACTTTTAAGGCTTTGCTCTGATACGAGCAGTCTTGTTGTTCCGACTTTCGATACGAAAGTTACGGAATACTTGTGCTGGGGATGAGTTTTTTTTTCTTCAGACAAATTTCGACTTTTTAACTAGCCATTTTTGACGGAATTTTTTATATCATTCGAAATCCATTGTTGTCCTGAGCTGAAATTTGAAAAGATATTTCACCTGTGATCATTTTGCGTAAAGTTATGAGGGTTTAAAGATTGCCATTTTGGCCATTTTGACCAATTTGGGACAATTAACGCGCGATATAATTCGCGCTATTAACGCGTAAGCGGAGATTTAATCCGTCTTATCAATCGTTCCAAATTGGTTGAACGAAGCTTATTTGCCATAATTGATTTGTTACAAGGAACGAAATCTATCTCTTTGTCCTTTATATGGCGTGTGGGGGGATGATTTTCATAAAAAATTTCAAATTAAAAAAAAAATTCATTTTATTTTATTTTATTTCATTTAATTTTTTATGTTATTACTGTTGCTCCATAAACCTTAGAAGGCAGTCGGAACATTCAGGGATTCGCCCTGATACGAGCAGTCTTGTTTATCTTTCGGTTGATTTATCTTCCATCAAGAGCAATCACATAATCTTTAAAACTTACTCCAAATGTTGTTTCATAGATATGTATTTCACGGCGTGTCACTTTTTGGCAAGACTAGAAGTCGATTTGAACCGAAAGTTTCACCTGAATTTAATGGTGCAGTTTTGTTTAGCTTCCTTTAAAAAACTAATTTTACAATGCGAAATGGCTGGTTTACCAACAGCGCATTAAAATGATTAACGCTTCATTTGTTTTTTAAATAGAGGTTTCAACCAATGTAAGAATCAAGCGTCCATCAATGAACAACAGATGCACATGCGAACATGCGATACTTACTTATCTTAGCGAATGATTTTGATAATTTTGATAATGAATTTTGATTTTGTTGATAATTTGATATGTTGAGTAAATAATTACATCGACTAAACAAAGTTTAATTAGGGAAAAAAGCTTCAAGAAAACCTGCTTCCCAAATTAGCTTGGTTAGTTAACAGGGTCTTCAAAGCTGTGTTTACCCATTTTTTTTTGATTTTTCACTCGTTATTTTTTTTGAACAAAGCTATGCGAAAAATTATGTAAGCAAAGCAGGCTAGTGTCTGCCTAGTTAGGTAGCCTTTTGCAAAGGCCAGCAAAAACGTAAGCAAAAAGGAAGTCAAAAAGGCAATAGTCATAATTGGATGGGAAGTAGTAGACCGGAAAAATCAAATGCAAATAAACTGCCTAATAGATTTTCAGCAGTATTCAACAACAGAAATTTAACAGGAAAATTTATAACTGAAAATTCCGACTTTGGATGAAAAAATGGTGCGATCTGACAACTCAAATTCGGCAAACACTACATTTGTAGGAAAACCTGAAAACAAACTCCAGAACAATTATAATTTTTCAACTAAATTTGTTTTTCAGTTCGTGAATGTAGTGACAACTAAATGATAATATAGTAACATTAAGTTTGAACAGTTTTTTGTGCTTCCTTGTTCAATTTCGCAATTTTCAGCAGTTTAGCATCTAATGCCACCCTAAAAGTTTCGAAATACACCATTGAAAGTAAAAGCACTGAAGTTTTTTTGCAGTATTTAATGATATTATGTTTTGCGATGATTGGTGTTGCAGCGCAAAAGTAAATTTTGTTTGTGTGAGAGTATATAAAGACAAAACAAGACTACTTGTATCATGGCGAAGCCCTGAATGTTCCGACTGCCTTTTAGGAATTATGGAGCAGTATTAACATAACAAAATTAAATGTAATATACATAAAACGAAAAAAAAATATTTCTAAAATTTGAAATTTTTAAATGAAAATCATCCCCCCACACGCCATATAAAGTACAAAAGAATAGATTTCGCTCCTTGTAACAAATCAATTATGGCAAATAAGCTTCTTTCAACCAATTTGGAACGATTTCTATGACGGATTAAATCTCCGCTTACGCGTTATTAGCGCGAAATACATCGCGCTTTAATTGTCCCAAATTGGCCAAAATGACAATCTTTAAACCCCCATAACTTAACAAAAACTGATCACAGGTAAAATATCATTTCAAATTTAAGCTCAGGACAATAATAGCTTTCGAATTATATAAAAATATTCCGTCAAAAATGGCTAGTTAAAAAGTCGAAATTTGTCTGAAGAAAAAAAACCCACCCGAGCACAAATGTTCCGTTACTTTCGTATTGAAAGTCGGAACAATGAGTGTGATTGGACTAAAACTGTCCAAATAAAAAAATGGAAGTGCGGCCAAGAGCCTAAACTCTTTTGTTTGTCAACCTGGTTTGAATCCCCCAATACCCAGACATTTATACATGTAACTTCCAGGGTTTATAGACCCATTTGACCGTTTTCAACCATTTTTTCTCTCCAGCTTGGTTCAAACTTGTTTATGTCTAACCTCTAAAAAAGAGCAATTTGTCTCAAGGACAAATACCAATGTTTTGAAAGCTTGCTTTGAGTTTTAAGCTATCAGTTGTTGTTGCTATGAACGATTTAAAAATGTTCCAAAATATCCTTTAAACAGTTATTCGGCGAGAAACAACTCAAATGTTTGATTGAATATCTTAGGTTTTTTTGATGGATTGAGATTGAGCGGAGAAATTTTGATTGGAGTAAACCAAACAACAAATTCGAATTTGTGCATTAAGGAGATGCTGGAGAAGACTTTAAACGATACTTGAACAAAGAAGTAATACCCACAGAAAAAAAAATTATTTTGAATGAGTGAGTTGGCTATTCTAAATGCTGTTATAAAAACAGCTCAATTAAATCCCTAGTACCTCCCAGATAAATTTTCATAGAGAATTTATTTTACCTGACATACGTTTTACAGATAGTTTTTGTAATATTTTTTTCGAGCCTTTTCAGTTTTTGTCGAAAAATGATCAACATAGAATTATGGGCAATCTGCAGAAAAAAGGTGAAATACAATTTTTAGGTTTTATCAGCGGTGTAGTTCAGGTAAAACTCAGAGATAATCATTTCAGATTGTGTCACAGCCAATGATTGCATTCTAATTGATCGAGTCGAATATCCGATAACTGTG